ATTTGTCTGCTTTGGTATTTGACTTCCTGGCGTGCAGGATGAGCTCATCCGTGTGTCCCTGGGTGCAAAGGCACCTGGGAGCTTTTGTGCTTAGAGGAGTGTGATCGTGTGGCTGGGTTCCTGGCGATAGCACCAGTGCCTCTTGTCTAAGGCACTGTGAAGCAGTGTTTCGCTGGCAGGCTGGCCTGCTGGCATACAGAAACAAACCACGCCCACTTCCATGAAACTTACCGCCAGGACGAGGAGCCCTGCGCCGGCCCTCACCTCTTATCGAATGGCACCGAGAGTTAGGAGCTGGAGGAGAGCTTAGTAATTGAGCTTTTTTTTCCCCCCTTCAATCTTACCATCTTGATTTCTTATTTCATTAGGCTTGTAAATAATTGCTTTTGGTCAGAAGATACTGCCCAGCGATTTGTTTCTTGATTGTTATTTCTGTGTGCCGCTCAGCTTCAATGAATCCACTCAGATGCAGCATCGATCTTCGCGAGCAGCCAAACAGCCAAGTCGAGACAAGAGAGGGCGCAGGAGGACATGAGAGGGGTTGTGCACGAGACGAGAGAGGCCTCTTGGCCCAGCTGGCTGGCTTGGTTGTTAGAAGAGATGTGATCTGCCTGACATCAGGTTCTGTCTGTCCAAGCTCTTCGGCTTGCAGGACATGCTGCAGTGGAACAGCAAATGAAGTGTTTCCAGTGCAGAATGTGCAAGGACACAGAATCCAAAGATCCTCCAGAGAAGATTTGTATCAGCGAAGATTATTCCAAACAAGACAGGTGGTAGTCTAAGATAAATCCTGTTGTCACCTGTAAAGGCACTGTTGCTGTGTGAGAAAGTCTGTCCTGAGGCATGATGGTTAATGAAAACAATTTTTTAAACTACTTGTTAAACCGCAGAAGTCCCTGTCAGACTGATATTTATAATCGAGCGCTGAGCTTTTGAATTTGTTTTTGCCAGGAAGGTCAATGTGCAAGGAATGTATAAGACTGTAAGATCATAAAAAACTTTACAAACAAGAAGAGATCATTTGGCCCTCTAGCTAGTTTAATTTTAATAGCTAATTGATCTAAGGAACTCATCCGGCCTTTTCTTCAAGGAAGCTTGATTGTAAATCCACAGGTTGTGGGTTCGAGCTCCGGCCGCTGTCCCTGCCCTGAGCGAGGTGCTCTCCCGCAGTTGCTCCAGCCCACCCAGACTCGAACGCGGGGACCTGCAGTGCTGTGATGGACTGGTGTTGCTCTTAAGTCCGCTAAACGATCCCAGGATGAGCTCTGCCCCAGTGAGCCGCTCAAGTCTGGACTCTAAGTGAAAGTCTGGATCAGAGCCCTGGAGACTGACGAGAATTCAGGATTCACACGTAGGACCATTACAAGTGCAGTAATATTTAACATCCTGTCTCCACTTTACCCACTAGGTAAAACTAGGTGAATCCACTCATCTGAAAGCACAGTTTTGTACAAATCCCAATGAGCCATCGGTCGAAACTGTCTGGCCAGCCTCCCTACCCTACATCCTGCTGTCACCCGGCCAGGGTACCCCAGCAGAGGGATCAGCCTGCAGAAACAGGCTCTTTGCCCTCTCTGGGGGCGTGGCCTTCCTTTGGGGTGTCAGTTTCATGCAAGCAGGGGGATGAACTTTCAGATTTTGAGAAACCGTGCCATGTACTGTTGGCATCAGACACAGCAGGATAGTGAAGATGTTCAAACTCTGCTCTCTCCTGCAATATTTCAGGCTCATTATATGGTAACTACAGACAGACCCACCTATATATCAGTATTTATGGTCTATTAATATGATCTGGGGCGAGACAAACGGGCTGTTCTGCTGAAAACCTGCTCCTGTAAGTGAGTCATTTTTCAGGGAGATTCACTCGGCATCCGATACCTTTTGTGTTTTGCTACCGAAGGCCAGAAATAAATCACGCTGTTGGTACTTGTTAATTCTGCAGTTTCTTGGTGATTTTGGTAACAAGGTCAGAGTGCCAGCCGTTGATCCAATTGGCAGTTCAATAACCTCAGGTGAAATGTTTACATTGTGATCCACTAGTTTTTTTGTCCTTTACTCGCATTCAAATGCAAAGTGGGACGAGCAGTCTGTCCTGGGCTGTGTTGATTGAGAGCAAGTGCAGAAGCAACACGCTGCGCTCAGAGCCCGAGCCCAGTGAGGACGTTCTGCTGTGCGGATCACACCAGCAGTTCAGTTCCCATTGCTCTGCAGATCAGATCAGCTGTGCTCTGTACTCTGTCTACAATAACGCCTCCGCCTGCCGTACTTGAGCTGCTGGTTCCCACCCATCCCAGTCAGGAGCTGTGTTGTTGGCCAAGGTTGTCCTTGTTCCTCCCACATCGGCAACATGACCTGCTCTAGTTCTAGGATCGCTTTGGTGAGGGTCTCTGCTAAAGCTGCTGTCTTTGATACTCTACTGTTAAACAGCAAGGCTGGGACACAAAGGGACATTTTTTTCTGACGTGTCTGGAACTTGGTGCCTAACGCATCATTTCTTGCTGGTCACTGAGACTGGTGTCCCTGGATATGGGGTCAGGGTGTTGGCTCATTCATCCTCAGACACTGCTCTAAATGCTGTTCCTGCATTGAAATTTTTTGAATGCTTGGTTTTCAATACAAAAGGATCTCAGGCTCTCCTGGTAGCTGATTTACCATTACCCTAAATTCATACTCGGTCTCTACCTGAGTTCCTAGTGTTAGTAAGTCTTCTTTTCCCCTCTGTGCAAGAGGTTTAGTCGTTGGTGATTCTAGTGCACACAGGCACCCTTCTGACGGCTTCCCAACACGTTGCCTTGGCCGTGACCCAGTCGTGCCGTGTGGACAGTTCCAGCCTGCCCGCACGCCAGCTGGGCTTTCTGCTCACACGGCTGTCTTCTTGCGCCCGACCGTCTCTGCCCCCTCCTACCAATCATGAACGACGATGACTGTGACTGTCTTGAAGCCTGAGTCTGAATTCCAGTAGCCTGGTGAAGGAGATCACAAAACTGATAATACTACAGGTTGTCTTTGATCCCAAGTAACTTATATTTGTACCCATTTCTACAGCCTGGTATTTTACAGGAGCAATTCAGGTGAAGGACCTTGCTCAAGAGTATGACTGCGGTGTCTCAGTTGGGATTTGAACCCACAACTCTGCAGACAGCTCTCCAGAGCCCCTAATCACAGCTCCACGCTGGGTTCTTGCTACGATTGCTGCTTCTGTTGTAAAAAGTGAATTGTCTAGACGTGATTGTCAGTGGTGTTTAAAACGGGGTTGTGCTGCAATAAAAAAATCGGAGTCATTTTACATAGGAACATAAGAATTGTTACAGACAAGAGAAGGCTGTTTAGTAAACTGTCCATCTAGGTAGTTGGTAGCTAATTGATCCAGTTAGTTCCATTGATCCTCGTACTTGGCTTTTAGGACTTAAAATACTTGTATCAAGCCCCCTCTTGGTCTATCTCCATCTAAGACTCTATCTAAATGTTCAGTTCCTTGAGCCTGTCAGTGTCAGACATTCTCTTAATCACCACAATGTATCTGGTTGCTCTCTTCTATACTGATTACGGAGCAGCAATATATTTTTATAAAGGTAAGAGCTTGTGACCCCTTTTGCAAGTCTCCAGGTTTCAAGGCCTTTTTTTCATCCTAGGAGTGCAGCATGGTGATCTTCTGCTCTGTCTCTGTCCACTGTGGAAAAGCTCATTCATTCAAACTTTGCTACTGCAATGTCCTGGATTTGCTGGTTTATTAAAGAACACCTTCTAAAACTGTACTTTCAAAACTCAGCAGCTATGGCCTATCTAGGTCTCATTCTGGAGAACTTATAACCCCTGTCTTGAACTCCCTGCACTGCCTGCGTGTGACTGTTTTTTCCAATGCTACTACTATTGAGATGAGAACAATATACAGCTGTATCTTCCATTTTTCAGACTTCAGCCTCCGGTACTCCTTAGGAGCAGACTTGATTAATTCAACCTGTAGTTGTTGCCTTTCAGATCCTGCACGGTTTCCAGGTTTTGAAAGGAACGGGGGAATTTCAGACTCATTAAGCAGAGAAAGGAGGTTTACTGTAGCTCAGGCTGTGAAAATTACCCCGCCTCCCTGAGAAGGTGCACATTTTTATTGCTCAGTTTGAGAAGAACTGGCTGATTGCAGTCTTTTTCGTGTGCCTGTGGGAAAAAGGTCATAAACTCAGCAATTGCGTTTAACAACAGAGGCTCATTAAAACACCTTTTCCATAGATGGGGCCGCCAGTGTTGTGGCCGAGGAGTCTGGGAGCTGTTTCTCCAGGAAGACAGCTGCCCCCTGAAGTGAGATGCTGTGGGCAGAGGAGCTGAGAGCCATCTTTCTTGCTAACCAGAAAAAGATCTTTATTGCATTGAATCTTTCGATTGTTTTCTCCAAGACCCTTCGCTTAACCCAGACTGCTAGTATCCAGAAAACTAACACAGTGTTTATTAAACACCAGACATTTCTTTTAAAGTTGAAGATTTGGCTTTCGAGCTACGACTCCAGCAGGCAGCAGGACTGGCTGCAGAAATGAGTCGTTCAGGGGCATCACTGCAAAACTTCAGGTGCCCAGCAAGGGTCAGGAGCCTCCTGGAGCTCCCCAGGGTGCCTCTGGTAATCTGAGTCAATCACAGTGACAGGACCCACAGTGTCAGGACCCACAGTGTGGAGACCCACAGTGACCGGACCCACAGTGTCGAGACCCACAGTGTCAGGACCCACAGTGTCGAGACCCACAGTGTCAGGACCCACAGTGACAGGACCCACAGTGTGGAGACCCACAGTGTCAGGACCCACTGTGACAGGACCCACAGTGCCGAGACCCAGAGTGACAGGACCAACAGTATCAAGACCCACAGTGACAGGAAAGACCACCCATAGGAGCCCCTGAGACTGCGTTCCTCAGCCTCCTGCCTGCCTTTAGAGGTCTTCAGTCAGTATAAATCTGAACCTCAGCTCCTCACAATTAACTGAATTCTGCTGGTTTCCCTCTTGTGTTTTTTTGCAGTCATGCGCAGGAACCCCTTCGCCCCAGACGTGTGCTGTAGGAAAGGCTCGAGGAACGCCCTGCAGGAGCTCTACAACCCCACACAGGTAGAGCTGCAGTCTGGCAGGCTGGGCTTGACGGCCCTGTCGCTCCCGGTGCCGTGTTTCAGCCAGACTTCAGGCTGCCTCTTTCAGAGTCCAGTATTGTTACTCCAGTCCAAGTCCCTGCTTACCTCTCCTGCACTAGGCTCTATGGTCATTCGAGTGAAGGTCTGTAGGTTAGGCTGTTTTGGGGGTTATTGAGTTCGTCTTTAGACCTGAAGGGTGGTATTAGTTTTGAAGACTTGTGCAAATTCAAAAGTTGCCACTGCCTGAAATTTAGTATTGAGTTTTAAATCCTGTGGGACATACTGTATTATTGATATCTGCTGTACATAAAATGTTACTAAAGAGATGATCCATAATAAAAAATAAAGTAGGATTACACTGTTTTTCATCTGTTAGTCGGCAGATGCAAACTCAAATTCCACCCATGAATCATGCCGGCATTATCACACAGTTAAAAGTTAATGTCAGAGCGAGAATTACCAGTAATCACACTCATAGCTGCTTTGTTGTTCACAGATTTACAAAAATGCATCAAACAGTTTAGTGTGCGCTCTTGTCACTGTGATGACAATTCTGTACTTTTTAAATGTGTTGCTTGTCCCTGACTGAAGGGGGAGCTCTCCTGTCCCCTCCCTGCTTCCTCCAGGTGCACCCCTGTGCTGGTGTTTGTGGTTATATGGCTGGTCTATGTTCAGCCTAACTGTTGCAAGTAAAGTCATGGATAAAAATGCCCTAGAATCGCTGATTATTGACACCCTGAATCTGAAACCACCAATCTGTTATTAAGACTGACGAATGTGGTTTGTTAAACTGTGCTGAGTTGCCATCAGTGCCTCTTGTGATGTTTGCTGAAGCCTTAGCTCATGCTTGGATGTGGCAATTGTGATGTTCTGGTCCATACTCCAGATTTCGATATGGGGTCCAGACGCTTGTGTCTGCAGCCCTTTTTCTGCTGTGCTTCTCCTGTGGCCACTGGGGGCTCGTCTGCGGCCCAGACTGCGTGCCCGAGCTTTCTGTTCTGTTGAGGTTCGCGCACGATGCTGTGATTTGCTTGGTATTTTCCCTGTTCAGCAAGTGTTTGATGATCCCTGCTAAACTGAGGCCTGGAGATTCTGAACAGCCTCAGGACAGCACAGCAGACACTGCTGCTATTATAAAGATGAACCAGACAGAACAGTCATTTCCTCAGATGTCTATTTTTATTTCTTTTTGGCTGGCAAGGGAAATTAGGGGCACAGACAGTGGTCAAAAGGGGGGAGGGGTGTGACTCTGAAAAGTGGGACAGAGGATTTCCTTTCTGCTGGTTGTCAGATGAAGAGATTTGCCTTTGTGTGGCCAGTGTCCAAGAATAGCAGCACGCCTTGCACTGTCCTTTCGCAAACACAAAACCCACAAACGCAGATGACATGTGCAGGAAAAAACCATGAAGAATGAAACAGGCAGCAGGGGGCTGAACTCATAAGTAGCACAAAATATTGTGAGGACAGGTGTGCGAAAGTCTGGTTTGTGGTTTGTCAGCAAGACTGTGTCTGCAGGGGTCTTTGGCCAGCAGATCTTAAAGAACTTCTTAACACTTGCAAAAGGAAAGAGTTGCCATTATTCAAGTACAGGTACAAGGTCCGACTTCTGTTTTAAGAATTCATCTTAGACCACCTCTTCCAGCACAGCTGTCAGAGGATCTGAGCCGCAGAGCTACTCTGTAGAGTGGCTTCTGATAAAGACAGCATCAGAAAATATTTAATAATTTATCCCCCAGATTGGTAACATTAGGAGGAAATGTAATCGTATGAATTGCCTTAAAACCGTCTAAGACTCAGTCCTCAAGAAACAATTAATCAAGAAGGCGATTTCTTAACTAATGCTCTTTTTAACAATTGCAAGGACTGATGCGTCAGATCGTGAATATGCCGAAAGAATTCAGTAAATTAGGGAGAGTAAAAACGCTGACAGTTATGCTCTGATGGCTACAGCTCGTTTACTGTAACAGCAGCTCACCTGTCTGTGTTTAAAACAGTCCTGCCTGTGCTCACCCACCAGGGCTCCTACATTGTGTTTTACATGAGAACTATGGTTATTCTGTATTAAATGTGAACTCTTTCAGGGCCAAGCATGTGTTTGTTGTAACACCATTTACATGAGCGGTCTGGGAGCTGTACAGGAAATGGGGATTAATTAGAGCTGGGCTTGTAAGGCTCACTGGGGCCCCTGGGAGTCCTGGGCACAGCGAGCTCTGGCCCAGCAGCACCAGGGCTTGTCACAGTCCTGTCCGAAAATGAAACACAGCTGTTTCATTCCTTTTGTTCTTACTGTGCTGGGCTCTCGGCGTAACTCTTTCTCTCTGGGGTTGCACTGAGGTAGCCGTGGGAATCTAATTGTTTATTTATTTATTTTAGCAAATGCAGCCCTTGTCAAGATAAATGCGCGGTGATTGATTAGCTTTCCGAGACGAGCTGCCTGTGTGGTGCTGCCACCTAAACTGTGTGTGATTGATGGCGGTGGGGTGTCATTATAATTGCTTGTTTCCACATCGTTTGTTCTTTCTCAGCTGTGCCTGAGTTCAAATGATGATGGCATTTTCATAAAACTAATTTTGAAGAATAAAGTGGAATTTATTTGAACTTCATATGTATTGTAATAGTCCCTTAAGAACGATCTACATTTGCTGATAAACACATCATGTATATAATGATTATTAGTATAAATATCCACTATTTGCATTCATCCTAAAGTGCTTTACCTATAACAAGGGTCCATTATACCCCCCCCCTCGCTGAAGTGCTCCCCCCTGGGAGACACACAGCGGCCATTCTGCATGCAGATTGGGGGAAAAGAGAAAACTGCCACACTGGGTGAATTATAGAGGAATTTTAGTGAGACCAGAGTGGAGTTCAGACAGAATACCATGGGCACACCCCTAGTGTCATGAACAATGAGCTGAGGTCTTGTTTTTTTAAACAATGGCCAATACCTTGTTGTTATACCAGCCCAGTCTTGGAATGGTCCACTGTGAGTTTTTTATGTGTTGGATCATGTCTTTATGCCCCGAACCCTGTGTCTGCACACGGGGGAGAATGAGGCAATGCAGTGTTTTACCACGCCTCCGTGCCGCAGGCTCCGCTGTGAGTGAAGGAGAGGTGTGTCTTTCGCTCATGGCTCAGGGGCCACAGGGGTCGAGGTGTCACTAATCCCATCCCACCTGGGTGGCTCTAGTACAGCAGTACTGCCGCTTCGGGAATCCCCGTCACAGCTGGCCAGCGACGTAACCCGTTAGACCAACAAGGTTACACAGGACACGAACCAGAGACACAGATGGAAACTACGTGGAAGAGCATTTAAAACCGAGAACAGGAGGCGCTTCTTGATCCGAAGGATTGTGAGAGTGTGGAACAAGTTATCCACCCAAATTATTGAAGCTGCTACCCTGGTTTCTTTCAAGAAACAGCTGGATGAGATCCTGGGATCAATTAGCTACTAACAACCAAACAGACATGATGGGCTGAATCATTCCTCTCGTCTGTGACCTTCCTCGTGTCCTTGTGATCCCACGATCCTGTGGCTCAAGTGAGCTCTTCACCAGAAGAGTTGTGCAGGGGCTTCATCCGAAGCACTGTGTCCCCGGTCACCACAGCGTCTCGAGACCAGTGTCTTCTGGTCTAGAGGGAAGAGCCCCCCCTGCTGGTCGGGCAGCTCCTCTTCCAGCCCTGCGAGTGGTAGAAAGCCCTGAAGCAGAACTGGTAACTGCTCATGCGAGTCCCTTCCTGTGATTCAGTCTTAAATATTTTTCCTTGCACGACAAGATTATTTAAAAAGTTCAGTACAGCTGAGAAAAACGCTAACACTAGTATTTACATTTACATCCGTTTCTGAATAGCTTTCGATGTGCGTAGACTCCCAGTTTTGACTCCCCGAAGAGAACTGGTTTGGTTCTGCAGGAGGAGGCAACAGCAGAGAAACAAGCCCTGCTCTCTGAAAGCCGGGCGCTGGACTCCTAGCTGGAGGGCTGAGAGCTCAGAGCAGGATGTTCTCATCATAAGTCACTACTGCACGTTCTCCACGTTCTCCGAAAGCAAGTTTCACGTTGGGAATCTCGGAAGCTGGAGATCCCTGAGGCCCGGCCCCGGCCGCTCTGCTGGGAGTCCTGTTCCTGCCTGGTGCCCCAGCGGCCCGGCCTGCAATCTCGCCGCGACACCGACAGGAAAGTAGCTTTCACCCGCCACAGAACTGCTGCACTGAGCTTCTCTGTGGGACAGATGTGGCTCTTGGAATCGCTCCAGCAGATTCGCACACGAGTCCCCATAGATTGTGGGGCGTGCCGTGCTCTGCCCTGCCGAGCTCCTCCACAATCCATCCCTTCTTTCTGCTGTCCCTGTTTCTGGCCATCTTCGAGGCGGACAGTGTGAGGCTGGACGCCATCAGACGGTGGAGATTTCTTCCGGGAAAAAGCAGGGAATGGCTGTGGGTTTCATCACAGGACCTGTGCACAGACATGTAGCTCCAGTCCTCTTTCGTGGCACCAGTCCCACATGGGTCAGGCCAGCATGGAATAAACGGAGCTGGAGTTGTGCAAACAGCTGTGATTTCCCTTTGTGAAGGTCGGAACGAAGCCTGGTGTAAGGTCCCAGCTGCCTGTCTTACATCACGTCACATCTGGAGGAAAGGTCACCTGCTTTCCTTGTGTCGTGTGAAGCGGGCTCTGCTGGGACAGGTAACACCTGCTGACCGGCCCTAGGGTGATCATGCAGTGGTTCTGGCCCGCTGTGGGACCTCCGGGAGGAGCGGAGGTGTGGGCAGGGCCTCGGGGCGGGACAGCGTGGGCAGACTGTGGGCAGTAGAGCTGGACTCTGCTGTCCTCTCTGACCCCCCCACTCCCTGGGGAACAGGGGCAGAGCAACATCAAGCAAAGCACAATGGGAACAGATTCTCGGCTGTATGGAGACGTTTCATTAAAGGCAGGAGAGGCAAGGCAGAAAACGGAACAGGACCAGCAGGAGAAAGAGGGA